CGAAAGCTATAACTGTGGTTTTTATAACGCTTATCAATCGGAAAACTTAAGATATTTGACTAGGAATATTTATAAATTTCGAGAATTACAAATCGTCTAACTTCAGTGGATTCTCATTGGACATTAATATTTTTACGAAAACATTACCTAACTTCAATGGTGGAAAACTTAGTGTGTGTGTGGCCAAGAACAAAGCTAGCTAGCTTCCCGGCAAATCGTACTTACATCAACTCGTAATTTACTCGCTTATCGTAAACCCTCGATAAGATATCAAGGGAGTTCCAAACTAAAAATAAGATTTTACATATAAACCTTTGTTTATAATAACTATTTGTAATAATTGTTACTGTAAATTGTATTGTTGTGTGTATATTAAAACGTTAAAAACGAAGACGGTGTGTATCAATCTTGTTGGCAAATATCGTAAATTGACTAATATATCGGCATATATTTAAATAGTAAATCCAAAGTACAATTTAACTACTAAATTTAAATTATCAGTTAACTAAATTTCAGACCATTTGAAATTCTAATACGTAACACATCGCACTTCCTACGAAACGCCAAACAATGTGAAAATGTATTTCTAATACATACCGTTGCACCGCAATTTCATATTGGTTGTGGTTGTCACGTGACTTGCCGATTTGCACATTAAAATTGTTCTCATATAACGTACTCAACCCTCTGTATGGACATTCGTTCAGCCACTGCCCTTCATAAAAACTCGAACACGCCTTACAGACCTAGCAGGTGCAAGTTTCAACTCCAGACACCAAATTGATCATTAATATTATATTTTCCCAAACAATTTTATTACATGTAGTTGCGCAAACGACATGAAATAAGAAAACACGTGTTTAGAAAGTATATTCACTATATCAAATTCAAAGAATAAAAACGAATTTCTGAAGATCGATCAATACTTTCTTGTAGCGGAATGTTTTTATACAGAGACTCCACGTCAAAGCTAGTTCTATACACATTTCAAACAAACTTCAAATTCTACATCGAAGTAGAAAACTAAAAAATGAAGAAAATTCACGCACACGAAAAAACCTGTAATTGTAAGTGTCACTGTTTCTTACAGGAAAGTTAGGTTTGCGAATTTTCGTGAAACAAAAATATTCCAGGATGAAATTCAACTAGTCTGGTTTATTTAGGCGGAGCGCCATACTGTGGAGCGGAGGAGCCGCTATTCATTTTATGTTACCACCAAAAATATCGCGCTTAACGCCTTGAGGACGTGGGTGCGTTATAAGAATAACAGTCAACTCCCACTTTTCAGCCTGACAAGAATAGGGCAAGTTAATTTTTCCTATCTAACTTCAGGTGGCTAACAGTAGTTCAAGAGTTGGCGGTGGTGGCGATGACTAGCTGTCTTGTTGTAATCTATCACTTCAAAATTAGTAAGAGTTAGCGCAGATAGCCTTTGTGTAGGTTTAGGTGAAATCCAATGAACTAAAAACTTATGTCTTATTATCAGTTATAATTTTATGTTGTTTATTTTTCTAACTAAAATGAATATGGATGTAGTTTCCCTTGTAGACGTTAGCTCATCTTTAGGAACCTTGTACCATAATTTAGTATATAGTTGTAGGATAGTCATACATAAAAGGCAGGTAAACTGGGAGTTATAAATAGTGAAATAATGTGCTTATTTATCACAACACTGTGCTGAACACCCTGTTTAATTAATTTTAAATCATGTAGATCTAAGTAATGTTTCAAATAACCCTCAATTTGCATGAATAATGAAAAGATTTCATAATTTAGGTCACAAGTTTCTAGGCAACTACAATGTTTTCAATAACATACTGGCATAATTAAAACATTACTGAATGTACAAGAATGATCGTTCAGTCTGGTTGTTAAGTGTTGTGTGTGTATATATATACATAATGTATATTGTATTACAATAAATGTTTCCGCTTGGATTTCTAACAATCAATCATGATGAGAGTAAGATTCTTGTGAAACTCCGCTTTCTATTAAAGTACGTTTAGATATATAGATATTCTTGCAATAACACCAACAAAACCAAAGCTACTAATGACGTTTTTTACTGTGTACGTAACTTACTATTACATGTTCTAAAGCTATCGTTTCTTAACTAGAAACAAAACAGTGCACAAAAGCTTCAAGACCTGCGAATTGTCTCGAGTCTGAATGACACCGATTTTCTCTGTGAGGAACTAAGTGATTTAAGATTTAGCTAACATTACGTAATAAATATATTATTCATTGAGGTCTTAATCTTGTAAAACCACACAGCTCTGGAAATCCACATCTATAACAGTATAAGCCTATTCTCTAAGAACTGGGTCAGGTTTTCCTTATAAATGATGGAGGTTTGCAGTGTTCATTAAAATTATTTTCTTTTACAAGAGAACCTTCTAAATATTAATCATATATAATGTAAGCTTTTTTAAAAATAGAAACTCTTGATTATTTTCATCACCAACTAATATACTAATTATATTCTGTAGAGTTGAATTTACGAACTTTAAGTTTTACAATAATATGTATATAATGGATGTTATAACGTGCAAGAACCATACTGTTTAATAGATACTTACTAGACCTGGAGGACAGGTCAAGTCCTTCGTGGTGTTACCGCTTTCAGGATCAACTTCCAAGGGAACAAAGCAATTGACACAAATTAGTCCGGTGCTCAATAGAAAAATCACACCTGTAACAGAAATATTTAAGTAAAAACTTTAGCACTACTAAATAAGAAAAAAAAATATAAGTAAATTAAAATAAATGTGAGATATTAGCGCCACATAAATTTAAAGCAATATAAGTATCTGAGTATTAACATGACCTTTTATGCTTCTTAAATTATTCTCAGCTAATATGACACATTTGCACAACTTAATTGTTGTTTTTGTTGTTTAGCACAAAGATATAGCATTGACTAACTGCATTCTGTCCACCACGAGAAATCGATCCCCGTATTTTAGCGTTGTTAGTCTGTCAGTGGCGTAGCAAGGGATCTCAGCACCCGGGGGCAAAGACACTTTTGGCGCCCCCACCTCTGAAATGTTTTGATTATTTGTTTTGTGACTCATTACCCACTTAATGACAATAACATAAAGAATTAATTACCGCCTTACACAGACCTAAAATAAATAAAGTCACAATATAACATCTCACGATATTACAACTGTAAACCTGGAACTAATGAAGTATAGCCTACTAGGTGTACTTAAATAATTTGTAAACCATTTTGATATTTATGTCATCCAGTATTGTTCAAAGTCACATAGCTAGAGTAATCTTTCAAGCATGCAGAATAAATGTTGATAGTTATGTCATCTAGTATCGTTTAAAGTTACATAGCTAGAGTAATCTTTCAATCATGCAGAATAAATTTCTGTTATATCCCTAGTTTTGAAACTTATGTTTTATATGAGAATCCAGTCACTTGTGATGTACATGGATTATAAAACAGATTGATAAAATACTACTTAAGTTTACAAAGAACAAATTTTATTAGTTTACAAAACTGTACATATACTTAACTACATCTTGTACAGGTAGCATTCTGGTATTCATGGTTACATTATATGAACCTTTCGTGCTTTTTCTGCTGCAACTGCATCAATTAAACTATCAAAATTTAAGGTATTAAGTACGTCTTTTTCAATACTTAATATTGTCAAGTTACTAAGTCGTTCTTGAGTCAGTGAGGTTCTCAAGTATGTAAGAATTAATTTCAGCTTGCTAGAAGGTACCTTTCACAACTAGCAATAGAAACCCCTAATTGTTAACAAAATCTGCAATGCAATTCTTAAATTTGGAAAAACACCTTCACC